ATCCTTTATTGTCCCCGTGGGGAAACTCCTTTTTACACCTCCCTCAACTTGCTCTTTGAAGAACAAGCTGTCCGCAAAGGGCAGCCACCTGTTGGGGCGCCCAGAGTGCTGGAGGTTAAGGGCTTTACTCAAGGACCCACAGACATGCTGAGGCTGAATTGGTGACGTTGTGATTACAGGCACACAGGTTTAACCCACTGAGCCACACACTGCCCCAGTGACATGTGATGCGAGATACGATGCTAAAGAATGACATTCATGGTCTGTGGTGTAAGAGCTAATGCTTATTAGTGTGATCTGCTCATTGCTTTGCTGCAGTTTTCACACGTTCAGCTCTGCTAAGCTGCACTTACATGGTGGAGGACCAGACCAGACTGTGGTGGGAAATTCACAGATGGACTCCATGTCACAGAAACATTTAAAAAAAGCACGTAAACAAGAAGTCGAAAGACACACTTACAGTGAGGGCAGCCGTGTTTTCTGTGTTCCTGATTCTAGCCTGTGCCACTGCTAAAAAGAAAAACAATGGTAGATTAGTGAAAACGGACACACTTGAATTTCTTATATGTATCAGTGAGAGGTTTTCATTAAAGTTGTGAAAGCGGCCATCCTCACCAGATCTTCTGCATAGAATCATGACAACAGCGAGCAACAGTAGTGCTCCCACGATCCCCACAGAGATCAGCAGTGTGGTATTACTGTGGAAATAAACATGAAGGATTTCATGTTATCTGGATTTAAGGTACTTAAGAGCTTTTCATTATAAGAGTTCTGTATATGAATAACACCCAGCAATCATCTGTAGGGTATATATCTGTCCACAGAAGGACCAAAAATGGAATAATTATAGAGCTCATTTCAACCATAATCATATAATACCACCTAACAACAATTCTACAAAAATCTACGAGAATCCTGTAAACAACACCAACAATAACTCCTTCTAAAATGGGAAGCCCTTAAACATCTTTGTTTTACATTTCAGATTGAGGTGAAGACATACGCTCAGGATATTTGTACCTCCTGTGCTGCAATTCTGAAACAGAACAGCATGACAGTAATGTTCACAAATCTGAAGCCGCTGACTGATTTCCTACAGCAGATTCAAAATGAGCACAGCAGAGTGTCAGAGAAAACAGCGGAACCGAAGATTGTTCCAGTGTAACTGATAAACCACATATCATTTATGTATGTCTTACCTTAAAATTGAATTTGTGCTGTTCTGTCTTGTTGAATTGGATGTCAAAGGAAAGGGAGAAGAAACTGTAGTTCTCAGTGTCGTATGATGGTTCCTTTCTGTCTGTTGCGTAGTTGGGACATGAATTACTGTAAAGGATCATGAGAAAACCCACTGGATTAGTTCAACATCAATGCAGACTGAGAATGTGGCATCAGCATTAAATGTAAATACACAAACAGACACACAGTGCAGGGATGCAGGTTAAACAGCCAGCGTCTGATTCACTACAGTCTGCTTTTGGTTCACATCTCAGCTTCCATTTACATTGAGATTATATGTACAAAGGAATTTGATATCAAAAGAAACTCTGCATTACAGCCACAGACTGCATTCATTTAGACCTATAATCATTTCAATATCTGCCTTTCAGTGACAGCATTAAACTCTGGTTCTGATTGGTTGATGCTGAATGGAAAAACACCCTCTGACTTTATCACAGTGTGACAGGCAGAGGCACAAGGTCACCATGGACTCATTTAGTGTGAATCACAGCCCAGGAACAGCTCTGTCCCTCTGTGTGTCTCAGGGTTAAACAGAAGCACCTTCAGAAACCGACATCTTACCTTCCCGGACTATCAGGGGCATAAAGGCACCATCGCTTTGTGCTGCAGACGCCTCCACAGCACACCAGTAATAGTCAAAGTCCTCCTCCTGCAGGTCCCTTATGGTCACATTAAACACCATTTGGTCACGGTCATCAGAGACTGACACTGTCCCTCTACTCTGTTCCCCATCTGACTGTGCTATTCTGGTGCAGGAATCCCATTCATATCCTCTACACAAGTATTTGGTTTTATCTTTAGAGTTTTGATCATAGTAACATGGGATGGTGACAGATCCTCCTCTTGGTGCAGAAACCCAGCTCTCAGTCCTCACACTCTGACCATCTATGGGGAGAGAACATGAATGACGGAGCATCAGAAATATATAATAATACAGGATGAACATGCAGGTAACTTATGACTGTAGAATCAGGAGGGGACAACCAAGTGAGATGAAATGTCCTGGTCAATAATGGGTTAACAGGCCTGAGTTTGACGTAGAGACTGGGGTCTGTTTTACACAGAGGCAAGGAATACAGAAGAAAGGTGTAGGAGATTATTTAAAACCTGAATTTACTACAGGACAGATAAATACTCATTATGAGCACCAGTTAAATCAAGCTCTGGTGAAACTATGTCAGCATTAATAAAAGAGATTATATTAGCTTACTTGGAGTAACCAGGAAGAACAGACTGTCAGACGTTTCCTTAGTTCTTCCTTCACCCACAGAACACCAATAATGTCCCCAATCCGGCTGCTGCAGGTTCGTCATGGTAACTAGGAAGACTAAGTTATCGGGATCATCAGCGATGGTCTGTGTCGCTTTAGTAGATGATGTGCAGGGGGGGCTATTTCCTGATTTACACCAGGATTTCACATGGTTTTTATGCTCCTGACGATAGAAACACGGGATGGTGATGGATCCTCCCGTTTGTCCGCTTAAATAACTGAATGTCTTCAGGGTGGAACTTCTTTCTTTAGCTTGTAGGAAAACAAACCGTCAGTCATAGTATTATCATTGGAAAAGTATATGAATCACCCAGCTTCCATCTGCTTATCATATATACATTTGCACATGTACTATTGGGGCCGTGTGTAAATATTCAGGTGTTCAGGCTCCTGTAGGAATATTTAACATAAACCAGGAGGCGTGAATCCTCCCAATGCACCAGTCATCACCCCCAGCTAGGACGCGTCAGGACGGCGTTTCATTGTAAAAACAGGCAGCACCAGTCTGTCATTATGTGAACTGCACATGCATCACATGGTAATTAACTTTCATTTGTTTATTTTCTGATTAATATTGTTCACACTGTCCTTGCACTTTGTTATTCCCTTTTGTGTTTCTATCTCTACAACTCATGTATCACGCTGCATTATTTGGGCTTATTTTAGCCAGCACTGTGCAAAGGATACATTTTTAAATAATTGTTATGTTGCTCATAATGCAAATGATTTATTCCTAAGGCACTACAAATGAAGGTGCGTTTAGGAAGATGAGGATTAAACACCATACCTGCAGTAATCAACCTGTATTCTTCATCAGAGGNCTCATCATCCGGATTTAGTCTGAGATAAAAGGCCACGATTCAGCTACTTACTGCAGTAGCTCCATGTTTTCATCACAGCTACGATGGTGAAGATTAAGTAGACGAGGCCAACAGCTGTGTGCAGGGTGATATGCAGAGCTCGCCCCCTAGTGGAAATAATCAGGAAGCTCAGTCTAACCAGAATCAGTCTGTATGACAAATAAGCCTCCTGTCAGAACACAATACTGTGAAACAGGGAATCATTAACATCCATGTTAATGCAAAAAACAATGAGAAGTGTATAAACATCATGAAATAAAACACTACATTCTTTGTAATATATTCATATTCATAAATTAATACATGTAATACATTCGTATGTAATATATAATGATTCCTTGTTTAATGGGAAGGTCTTATACATCTAAAGATAGATTTTTCCTATTTCCCACTAACGAGAACAGACATTTTGGGGCTTCTATAAATTGGATCAAGGAACCTATCCGGATATATGTCTTAGCTTATATTGGAATTTGTAGAGTTATTTTCTGTTGACTTGAATGTCAAAGGAGAAGGAGAAGGAACAGCATTTCTCAGTGCCGTACGATGGTTCCATTCTGTCTGTTGTGTAGACGGGACATGAATTTCTGTCAAGGATCATAAGAAACACCACTGAATTACTTCAACATCAATGAAGACTGAGAATCTGGCACCAGCAACGAATGCAAATACACAAACAGGTACACAGTGCAGGGATGCATGTTAAACAACCAGCATCTAATTCACTACAGTTTGCTATTGGTCCATTGGATCATTTAGACCGATAATCATTTTGATTAAACTCTGGTTCTGATTGGTTGATGCTGAATGGAAAAGCACCCTCTGACTTTATCACAGTGTGACAGGCAGAAGCACAAGGTCACCATGGCCTCATTTAGTGTGAATCACAGCCCAGGAACAGCTCTTTCCCTCTGTGTGGCTCAGGGTCAAACAGAAGCACCTTCAGGAACCGACACCTTACCTTCCCGGACTATCAGGGGCATAAAGGCACGATCGCTTTGTGCTGCAGACGCCTCCACAGCACACCAGTAATAGTCAAAGTCCTCCTCCTGCAGGTCCCTTATGGTCACATTAAACACCATTTGGTCACGGTCATCAGAGACTGACACTGTCCCTCTACTCTGTTCCCCATCTGACTGTGCTATTCTGGTGCAGGAATCCCATTCATATCCTCTACACAAGTATTTGGTTTTATCTTTAGAGTTTTGATCATAGTAACATGGGATGGTGACAGATCCTCCTCTTGGTGCAGAAACCCAGCTCTCAGTCCTCACACTCTGACCATCTATGGGGAGAGAACATGAATGACGGAGCATCAGAAATATATAATAATACAGGATGAACATGCAGGTAACTTATGACTGTAGAATCAGGAGGGGACAACCAAGTGAGATGAAATGTCCTGGTCAATAATGGGTTAACAGGCCTGAGTTTGACGTAGAGACTGGGGTCTGTTTTACACAGAGGCAAGGAATACAGAAGAAAGGTGTAGGAGATTATTTAAAACCTGAATTTACTACAGGACAGATAAATACTCATTATGAGCACCAGTTAAATCAAGCTCTGGTGAAACTATGTCAGCATTAATAAAAGAGATTATATTAGCTTACTTGGAGTAACCAGGAAGAACAGACTGTCAGACGTTTCCTTAGTTCTTCCTTCACCCACAGAACACCAATAATGTCCCCAATCCGGCTGCTGCAGGTTCGTCATGGTAACTAGGAAGACTAAGTTATCGGGATCATCAGCGATGGTCTGTGTCGCTTTAGTAGATGATGTGCAGGGGGGGCTATTTCCTGATTTACACCAGGATTTCACATGGTTTTTATGCTCCTGACGATAGAAACACGGGATGGTGATGGATCCTCCCGTTTGTCCGCTTAAATAACTGAATGTCTTCAGGGTGGAACTTCTTTCTTTAGCTTGTAGGAAAACAAACCGTCAGTCATAGTATTATCATTGGAAAAGTATATGAATCACCCAGCTTCCATCTGCTTATCATATATACATTTGCACATGTACTATTGGGGCCGTGTGTAAATATTCAGGTGTTCAGGCTCCTGTAGGAATATTTAACATAAACCAGGAGGCGTGAATCCTCCCAATGCACCAGTCATCACCCCCAGCTAGGACGCGTCAGGACGGCGTTTCATTGTAAAAACAGGCAGCACCAGTCTGTCATTATGTGAACTGCACATGCATCACATGGTAATTAACTTTCATTTGTTTATTTTCTGATTAATATTGTTCACACTGTCCTTGCACTTTGTTATTCCCTTTTGTGTTTCTATCTCTACAACTCATGTATCACGCTGCATTATTTGGGCTTATTTTAGCCAGCACTGTGCAAAGGATACATTTTTAAATAATTGTTATGTTGCTCATAATGCAGATGATTTATTCCTAAGGCACTACAAATGAAGGTGCGTTTAGGAAGATGAGGATTAAACACCATACCTGCAGTAATCAACCTGTATTCTTCATCAGAGGTGGCCTTATGTATCTGACCATCACCCACAGCACACCAGTAACTGCCTTCATCTGACTTCTGCAGGTCCCTCATAGTCACAATGAAGACTAAGTTCTGGGGATCATCAGTGATGAACACTCTGTTCATGGCCGGTAGGGAGTCACTGCGTGTCTCTGGGCTGCAGGATGACGTGTCTTTCCCTTTACACCAGGATTTCACAAGGTCTTTATGCTCCTCACCATAGAAACACGGGATGCTGATGGATCCTCCTTCTGATCCAGTTAATGTCGTCTGTTTGGAGCTTCTTACAGGGACGATGGCTACAAGAAGAACAGCAAACCTGTGAGTAATGTGTCACAGTCTTTGGAAAAGGAATTGTATAGTTAGACAGATAGATACCATGTGGCTACTGCTGGTTTCTAGAACCAAGCCTGTCTTCTCACCTGCTTCTGGATTTTGGTCTGTATTTGGTAAATGTTGTATCTTATATTGATTCTGACCTTGGCCAGTATTTCATCCTACGATTCTCGAATATCTGTATTTTGCCTGTTGGGTCAGATTACAATCTATTAAAGTCCCTGAATCTGCACTGGGATCTCAGACCACTTTCATTACAATATGATGTTAGTTTCATTAGCATGTTATCTTATCTATGAGAATAAGGAAGTGTGTAATTTTGAACTCTTTAGAACTCACATCCCCATATAGGATAAATAATACCCACTGATGTGTTCTGAATGATTGCCAGAAGACAATGAAGGAGAGTATTTCATATGAATATTTTGTGAAAATATCCATGTTAGCCATATGGATCCTAAATAAGTGATTTTCATGATGGATTTATTTTTTCATGCACTAAATTTAGTTAGGCCAGATCCTCACTGGTAAAATATGGTACATTTACACTCTGATATCAGCTTTGTCAGTAATTTACTCATTTTTGCTCAGTGTCTGAGAGCTTCACTTGCTCACAATAAAATTTTGTTATGTTTCTTTCTGATTAAAAGCTACAACAGAGGATAGTAATACATCTAACTCGATTATCTAATTTTCACATCAAAAGAAAGTACTAGACTGAAAATAAAGCATTTTTCCTTCTTTTTTGATTAGTTAAACATAAAGTGAACAAAATGCCAAGCTTTACCTGGTAACCCTATAAAAATGATGAAGAGGAGGAAGAGGAGAGGAGCCATATCTGGTGTGTCGATTGTGGCCTTTAGCTGTATCTGTTTCTATCC